AATTTGAACAAAATATTAATTAATATATGTACATTTGTATAAAGAATAATTTTCATAAATAACATGGACACTAATAAATATTATGATAACATACAAAAAACATAAAATATATGAACATAAGTAAAACACTAAATGTTCATATACATAAGACATAATAATCAAATATGTCACATAATAAAATAAAAAATAAATATTAAAATAATAATATACCTTTTCCAGAAATGTTCAAATTCAGGAGGAGTTTCACAATACTTCAAAAGATATCCAAACAAATATGTAAAACCTTCCAAAGCTCTCAATGATCCAATGTGTTTTTTCGAATTTTGTTCAAGATGCCATACACATATACGATGATGGACGGTTGAAGGAAAAATGTTTCTTATACCCGCTGCAATCGCTTGTGCTTGATCTGTCATAATTGTAATAGGACTTTTCCTTCCCATTGACTGTAGAAATGTGTCAAACAACCAATCAAAAGACCCGGTGCGCTCATTAAGAATAAAACTCATACCAAACATAACATTATTACCATGATGGTTCATTCCAACAAATGGAGCACATATCATTCCATATTTGTTAGTTCTATAGGTTGTATCAAAAACCAACAAATCTCCAAAGTAATGGCAATCTCTCATCATCTTACCATCACGCCAAAAAAAGCTAACTAAAGCACCACTATCATCTTGCTCAAAATCATAGTAAAAATCTGCTCATCCACAGGTCTCTTCGCAAAATATTTAATCAATTGATTACTATCACATCCTTCAATTTTAACAGCTTTTTCAGATGATAATGCATTGTACACATTAGGAGCAGTAAAAGAAAGATTAGGAGATCCACCAACCTCTTTCTTTAGAACCCTCAAAGAATCAGTAACTTTGACTCCGCTCAATTTCATTGTAGAAATAAAAAGAAGAGAATCTTTAAATTGATAGCCCTTTGAGACCTTATCAAATGCCTTTTTTCAGGAGGAATCATATCATGATTATGAACCATTTCATGTCTTGTACATGTATAAACACCTAAATGATCAATATGAAACTGCACAAAATCTAAACAACCAGTTCGAATATCCAGCTTCTCATAAACCCTCTTATTCTTACACTTATCATCTTTGAATCTTTCATTGCAACAAACAAATCTTTTCATCAAAAATGAATCATATCTTCTTCTTTTAATCTTCCCAATTTGAATTCCAAAACCTTTCCTAAATGCATATTCGTTATACGCTTCAAAAGCTTCATCTTCAGATTTAAATTGTTTATCCTTTAATTGAGACTTTGATGCTTCTTCATAAACAATATTATACTTTTTTTCCACTGCACAAAGTTTAAATATATAATTATAAATGAACATAAAGTGTTTCAGGAATGAACAATGATGAATAAATAAAATGTTCAAAATTAAAACAACACATGATCAATTTTAAAATTAATTAAACCAACGAAATGTTCATAACAAAAACACTCAATTCTAAAACAAAGAGCAAAGATATTAAAACACCGAAATGTTCATAACAGAGTATCACAATACAAATTTACAAAGTATAATATAATCAAACTTACAAAACTTCAGCATAATATAACACATTTGAAAGTTGAAACAACAAAAATGAATCATAATATAAAATTTAAGTTCAAATAAACAAAGCATTATAACATTACAAACTTATAAAATTAAAAAAAAATTACAAAATTATAATGCTAATTACTAACATTGTTGAGCAAACAATTCATCCAAACGAAAAAATTATTCAAATAAACAGAGCATTATACAATTACAAACTTACAAAATTATCAAAAATTACAAAATGATGATGCTAATTACTCACATTGCTGAGCAAACGAATCAACCAAACGAACTCCAGAAGGAAACAACCTCTCGCAATCACGATCAAAATCATCGCAATCTCCAGATGAAGAATTTGCCATTGATGAACAAAAACGATTATCAAAATTCGAATGAATTAACCAGAAAAAAATCGATTCAAAAATGGTGAAAATTGAGGTTAATCAATTACAAAAATGGAGGTTCATCAAATGAGGAGAGAGAAAATATAGGGTTTAAATGAATATATATACATAGCTTGAAAAGAAAGAAACAAAGAATTAAGAAAGAAAAAAAAAGGAAACAATAGAAGAATAAAGAAGCTTACCAGGGGGTGTGGGTAGCAAGCAAAACGCTGCGTTAGGTGGGGTGTAGAAAACACTACCTACACTGTAGTGTAGGGTAAAATTTTCATATTATTGGACCCTTATCATGGACCAATATAAATTGGACTGGCTATTTTTCATAAACGGGGTACGAAAAGAAATATTTTCGAAAACATAAAGAAGTATTTTTATTAAAAACAACCGCATCACTAGACTTTTCACACTTTCACTTTATTCGATAATCAATGACAATGAAAGATATTCATCACTGGATTTGGTTTTTGGGGAGACACATTTGGGTGTCTACAGTATTACCTATGTATCTCATTGGTACTGAAATTCAGTATACAGATAAGGTACTTTTTTTGTTTTTTTTTTTTTTTAAATATCCCTAGTTGAGTCCTTTTGGACTATAGTTAGTTGAGGCTTAGCATTTCCCGGGGGGAACGATATTAAAGTAAATCAAATAAATTGTGTTATCTTGCTTTGTGCCTTTATATATATATATATATATATATATATATATATATGTATGTATGTATGTATGTATGTATGTATGTATGTATGTATACTTAGTACAATTTTAACACCAGTAGGTACATATGCAGGCCGGGGAAGGGCAGGGGAAGGAAATGTGGTGTTTTCTGGCAGGGGAAAGGGTGAGGGATGGTGGTGGTTTTTTTTTTTCCATTTCAAACTTTTGTTTTTTTTTTTTTAAAAAAAAAACAATAGTAAAATTGATAAACGGGTCTGAGCCACACCCATCACAACTGTCTACTTTACACGACTAAGGATGTTCCACCTCAAAACCATATGACAATTAGGGGAGTAGCCCTTTAGCCTTAATTATAAAGTGGACACAACTTTATTTCTTCAATGTGTGATACATATCCCAATACAAACTCTCACTTTATAAACTCAACCAATGTGGGACAACACACCACTCACATGTGGGTTTTCTCTTGGGCTCAACACTCCTCCTCACATGTGAGTTGTCCATAATATTGGCCCAGATCACAATACAACTGAACCTGGCTTTGATACCATGATAAATACGGGTCTGGGCCTCATCTGCAAACCAAGAGAGAGAGAGAGACCACTTTACAAGCTCAAGGAGGTTCCATCCCAAAACCATATGACAATTAGGGGAGTAGCCCTTAGCCTTATAAAGTGGACACAACTTTCTTATTTCTTCAATTTTGGAAACACATCCCAATACAAACTCTCACTTTATAAACTCAATCAATGTGGGACAACACACTACTCATATGTAGATTTTCTCATAGGCTCAACAAAAATTCGGTAAAAATAATCCAACTTTAGCCTGTTTGCTCCAAATAATCCTTACGTTGGATTATTTTTAAATAATACAAAGTTTAGGGGTCATTCACTCAAAGTCATCTCAGTTGGTCATCTAACATGTTATAACCGTTTAAGGTGACATTACATAATTGGTTGGGAAAAAAAAATTAAAAAAAAAAAGGTCCTACTAAAAAAATTTATAAAAAACAATGATAAAAAAAAGTCCCACCCACGGCCACCCTCCTCACAACTAGCCACGACCACTTGACGGAACACCCTATCCCCGCCGACGACACCCTTCTGCGACCAGCACCACCCCACAAACACACATCACCACAACCACCATTTAGCAGTCCCGCAACAACCAATCCTGCTACACCAAATAACCACCATCACCACCAGCCCTCGTAATCACCAATTCGCATCCTACAATCACCATAAAAACCCCCAATCAACCTTCCCTCACCCACGGAACCTTATCGACTAGAGGTTTCGAGGGCAGGGGAGGAGCGTCTGGGGGTTTTTACAGTGGGGGAAGAGGATATTTCGGGGTCTGGAATATGGGTTTTGGGTGGTTGTTTAAGGACGAGCGGGGCCGGGGATACAGAGATTTGCTAGCGGCGTAAGGAGGGGGGTCTAAGTGCGATGTAGGGTCGAGTCGGAAGACCTAGCTTGGCTGAGTGGGAGGATGCTGCCAGAAAATCATGTTGGTGGTTGGGGTTGCGTGGGTAGGAGCGTGCTTTTTTTTTTTTTTTTTTTTTTTTTTTGGTATTTAAACCAAATCATGTGGTGACACAAGTTACTTAATCCAAAAATAAATATTTATTACTCTAACAGGTTACCGATCATATGAGACCATTTTGAGCAAATGAGTGAAACCTAAGATTATTTTTACCAATTTTTTCAAAAAAAAAAATTAATATTTTAGTTTTATTTTTTAGATCAATCAAGGCTTGACACATGTCAAGTAACCTGTTATAATAGGTAATTGACTTTTGTTAATCAGTCGTAACAATTGAGAAGAACACACATCTCCAAGTTGAGATTAATAAAACTAAATTTTCCTAAAAATTACAAAAGGAGTAACTAATTTATGAGCACTCGTGCAAGTATTAGTCAGATTTGAGATGGATATTGAGTGGTGGACAAGGATAATTATAACCTATAGGCGGAGATGGGGATAAATTTGTAAAAGATGGACAAAGTTTTATGCGCCAATTTGGGTCTTTAAGGGTCTGTTCACATTTGCTGAACTGAGTTAAACTGAACAGAACTGATTGGTGAACTGAGTTGAAATGAATATTTTATAAGAGAGAGAAATTAGGAGTTGAACTAAACTAAACTGATTAGAGCTAAACTGAAATGAATCGGAGATGAATTGAACTAAAATGAATTGAATTGAAATGAAATTAAGTAAAAAAAAAATATATATATATAACAAGCCTAACTCTTACAAATATGCTGATAAAAGGTATGGCCCATTACATGACTTGCATCAATACCCAAAAAATATAGACATGTGGAAGACACAATGTCACAATCATTGGTTGTCCTACTCCCAAGCGGCCATGCGCTCTTTATTATTCAGACGGGCACTTCGTCAATTATATAAATCTTTGGTAGTCTTTGTATCGTTTCATTTAGCACTTGTATTTCATAAATCAATCAATGGAATATTCCACTCCATCACTACTTATCCTTCCTGTCATATTTACCATCCTCTTCTTCTCAAAACTGTTCACCAAATCAAAGCTCCCACCAGGGCCTAAACCATGGCCTATCATAGGCAACATTCACTTTCTCGGCGACAAGCCTCATCGTGCTGTCGACGAGCTCTCAAAAAATTATGGCCCTATAATGACTCTAAAACTAGGTAGCAACACTACCATAGTTATATCATCCCCTGAAATAGCCAAAGAAATGTTCCTTAAACACGACTTAGCACTTTCTAGTAGGGCAATCCCAGATGCTGCTAGACCATTAAACCACAACAAACTTTCTATAGGATGGCTTCCTGTATGCCCCAAATGGCGGACCCTTAGAAAGGTTGCAGCTATTCACTTGTTTACAAATCAACGACTCAATATGAGCCAAGAGTTACGACACAGTAAGGTGAAAGAGCTGATTGGGTATGTACAAAATCGTTGTGAGAAGGGTTTACCAGTTGATATTGGTAAGGCAGGGTTTACAACCACGATAAATTTGTTGTCGAATACATTGTTTTCGATGGATTTGGGTAGCCTTGATTCGTCGAATTCACAGGAATTAAAGGAGATTCTTTGGCATGCTTTCGAGGAAGGAGAAAGGCCTAATGTGTCTGATTTATTTCCAATAGTTAAGTACTTGGATTTGCAAGGGGTGGTAAAAAAAACAGCGTGTTACTTGACAAAGTTGAAGAAGATTTTTGAGAATATTATTGATGAAAGGTTGGAGGATCCATCTGATGTCAAGGATGATGTTCTAAGCTCTTTACTCAAGCTTGTTGGGGATGGAGATGAAGAACTCACTCTCGATGATGTCAAACATCTTCTCATGGTAAGAGAGAAATATTAATTTTTTTTTTAATGATCATTTATTAGCACTTTTTGTTTTTAAAAAATCGGCCAATAATTTATTACTTTTTCTGTTTCTTTTTAATTGTACTCGATCGGTAAGGGTTACTCGGTTGGTCATGATTTATTAAGTTAGTTAGTTGTTACTCGGTCGATCAGGGTTTATTAAGTTGGTTAGGGGTTACTCGGTCGGTTGAGGGTTATTCGGTCAAGGGTAATTAAGTCGGTCAGGGGTTATTCAGTTAGGGTTACTCACTCGGTCATTAGAAGTTACTAAATCGGTCAAGCTTTACTCGGTCATGAGTTACTCGGTCATAGATTACTTGTCGATAAGGGTAACTTGGTGCGTGAGAGCTGGCCAGGGGATGTGGCTAGCCGCACTCAAAAAGTTGATGGAAAATCAATAACTCGGTTCACAGGAAAATCAATAACTCGGTTCACAATTCACCCAAAAGAAAAACTGAAAATTTTACATAAAATTACAAAAAATCAAGATTATAATATAATTACATATAAAATAACCCCAATTTAATCATCCCGAAGTTCTGCAATAAGAACTCTGTGAAAAAATAATTGAATATGAAGTCAATGGTGTGGAGAGTATTGGTGGAAATCAGTTTTTAAAATTAAAGATGTTTGTAATCAAAATAATACATAGGTAAGTGTGAAATTAAAAGTGCTGAAAAAAAAAAAAAGAAAAAGATGAAGTATATACAAAGTATTTGTTTGTAAATAAATTTGAGTGGCTTAATTTGGTTTTGTTTAGTCTTTGGTTCTAAGAGAGCTCATTAATCATAAGAGCAACCATTTCGACTCTTGAACACCGCCATTGAAGATTAGCTAATTAAGCTAATTGCTAATTCATAATTAGCTAATCCATGTTGAGTTGTAATAATATTATTGTAAATGATAATGACTAACACTTGACTTGAAGAATGGGACGTTTATCCTTATAACAATATGCATTGAGGTATATATGTCTATGATATTGTAAGAACTACGGAGTACATTATTTTGTGAGTCATTGCATGTGAAAAGTTATGTTTCAATTGAATACAGAAACAAACAACTAAACAAAAGGTAGAGTTGCAAATAATTAAATAAGCAAGTAGTTTATTTTAAGGAATAATTAAATCATGACTTCACATGGTGGTGGATGGAAAGTGTAAAAAAAACAAGGGATCTTAAAAGTATTGTTGAGAATTAGAGGTGTGAAAAGCACACCCGACCCGATCCGAAACCAACCTGAAAAATATCCGATTTAAATTTGGACTCGCGTGTACATAATAATTTAGTATAACTCAACTTTAAAAAATTTACCCGACCCGACCCGGCCATATTCGATTCAATCTGATTATCCGAACTGACACCCCTATTCAGAACTTCAAATCAATGTCTGTCATAAAACGAATTGAGGACAATCAAAATTCAAATCTATTCCATCCATTTTTAAATAATTGACAAATTTCTTTTTTGGACATTTAAAAAATTACTCCATAATTCCATAAATGCATAATACATAGAAAATATTGTGTGGACCTGGTCCAAAATAATTATTATTGTGAACCTAAGGTTTATACACACATAGCTGACATTATATTCAATATAGTAACCCATAATTTTAATATAATACTCCCTCCGTTTTAATTTGTTAGTCCCATATACAATTTTGGACGTTTCAAAAAGATCTACCCATATTGAATGTATTCTACTTTTAACTTACTTTTTATTTCCTATTTTATACATATTAAATTCTGATTTGTTAGATTAATTGATTGTGAATTAATGACATGACTCTAAATAAAGAATTTACTCCCTTGATTTATGCAATTATGGATTTATGGCAAATGCTTTACTCAAAAATCAAAAAAATAAATAATGCAAAACTATTTATGAATTGTTTTTTTTACTTTAATGCTAGATTCCAAATATTCTCCTTTACTTATTTTATGTGATTGATTCCATATGAGACTATCATATTGAAACGGAGGGGGTAACCTTATTTTTAACAAAGTAACCTGCCTTTTTTTAAATTTGTGTGATCTTTAATGTTATTATAAACTTAAAGTACGACATTATATCGAATAGTGACCTGATCTTAACATTGTGGTCTTTATTATTCATATTGACCATTATATTAAAAATTTCATTAAAAAAAATTAACCTCTTAGAACTTTTAATGTCACACTAACTTTTTTTTTTTTTTTTTTTTTGAAAAATAATGTCACACTAACTTTTATTTCAACATAATAATTTTTTTTTTTTAATATATTAACTTTTTTTTTTATTTATTTTACAAAAGCAAGGTCCACAATAAATTAGTGTGAACCAAGTCCATTAAAGAATTTCAAACTTTTTCACTTTTGAATATATACAAATAATTAACCCATTTATCTCATTTTTTTTTTTGTTTTTTTTTTAACATACACGTTTAGGCTCTTCAACTATTTCTCTTCCCAATAGTCCAATACAATAACAAATCCACCAATTTAATTTGTATAGTTTTCTCCACTTACACCACCAACTAAATAAAAAATAATAATTAGGAAATTTTAGAAAATAACACCACAAAAAAACACAAATTTTGATAATAACATCTAAAAAAAAATTTAGAAAATAACACCAAACCCAGCCCAACCCCACCACTGGCACCACCTGTCCACCACCACCGACATGCTAACCCAAGCCGTCGGTACCCCTGCCCCACCAAAACCGGCGAAACCACGAACCCCTGCCCCAGCTTGGCCTTGCCCCACCATCAACCACGTTATTCGCATCAAAAACCCTCACAACCACCACCTCCGCCACCATACACAACGAATTCCCATCCCTTACACCACTTCCGACACCCCTCCAGCCACCGAAAACCTCCTGCGACACCCCTTGAACCACTTCCGACACCCCTCCAGCAACCGAAAACCACGAAATTCGCACTGAACAACCCCCGTAACCACCTCTTTTTCCCACTGAAAACCGACAACCATCACCATTTTTCTTCCATTTCACAACAAAATTAGCAACTAGTGGTCAAGATCGGCCAATTTAGGGTCGAATTTGACCACTCAGGCCCTAACTTGGCCGATTTCAACCACTAGTCGCCATTTTTGTGGTGGCTAAGGTTTATGGAGTTGCGAGCTAGGGTCTCAATCGCTGCGTCTGGTGGTCTATAGGGATTTTCGGGGTTGGTTAAGGAGGGTGGGGGTGGCTGGGTGGACACTGGTGTGGCTTGGCGACAGTGGGGGGTAGTGCCGGTGGTGGGATGTAGGGCTGCCGGTGGTGAGCTTCGTGGCTGGGCTAAGGGTTTAGGGTTTTTTTTAATACAAAAAAAAATTTAACCAATATATAACTGACACGTGTATTTAGTAGGTCCACAAACGTTTTTGACGGCATCCTCTATGCGGTGGTGAAATCAAATTTTTGAGATTTTTAGAGGTGTTATAATCAAAACTTTTTTTTATATGGTGTTATTATCAAAATTGTGGCTTTTTTGTGGTGTTATTTTCTAATTTTTCCTAATAATTAACATCAAAACACCAACGAACTTTAACTAATATCCTTAACAACTGTGAAAATCTCAAATCGTATTTAATAGAATGGAGGGATTAAAAATTATGAATATATGCAATATGAACATTTTATATTAGCGCTAAATTTTCTACCTTGAGATCTTTTGGATGGAATGATCCAAATGTCTTTAAAGATAATACTGAATACAAATGCAAATAATTATCTACATCTATATTTTCAGGATCTATTTAGAGCATCTCCAATGGTTAGTTTTAGGGTCTTGCTTGCAATATTTAAAAATATTAAAACTGTAGCTTGACCATTGGAACAAAATTGACATACCTGCTTGGAAGAGCAGCACTGCTCACTTGAGCAACACTGCTTGGAAATTTTCAAGATTTATATATTATTTTAAAAAATTGGAGAGTGGTATGCACGGCTAATGGAAATGCTCTACGTGATCTACAATTGCTCAAAAGATAATGCAACAACTTTTTTTTTTTTTTTTTTTATCTTTTTCTAAAAAAAAAACATTTTAAAATCAATTTTTCATCTTTATCAGAAGGTGTAACTGACATGCTCTAGCTAATGTTGAGTAATGTGCTTCCTAGCTTATAGGTTATAGGTATACTTTGTTTTATTCTTTTTGTTAAAAAAATTAGTAACATTCATTATATTCGTAAGATCACTTGTACAAGATTATAGGTATTTTAAAATTTTTGATTACGTTATATATGATAACAAATTAGACTTTGTCAATAAAAGATTTTGCCAAAATTTTAGCCAATGTACAATATTTGGTAACCATATTTAACTTTGAATTATTAGCTAATACATCTATAAATAAGTTTTTTAACCTTAAGAATACAACCAGTATATTATTTCAAAAAAACATAATCTACAAATACTTTCATATCTACGATTAATTCCTCGTAAAAAATTTGGATGGATGATACGGATAATCCATTTAGTAAACATTTTGGTTTGGGAAATTCATCAAATAGTGGAAATTTCACCTCCGAAAATTCCTACCCTCAAACACACTACCACCCTGGCTACTATTATCCCAATACTACAATGCCTAATTTGCAAGACAACATGTCAAGCTACCATCCTCAACCTCCATTTTCAAGTGAATCTAATGTGGTTCATGATGCTACAAGAAGAGAATGTGTAGGGGCCTCTAATATGCACCAAGAAACATCACTCAAAAGGTCTCAAATGGAGTCAAACACTCCTCAAAGTGATAATATACAAGAGGAGGTAAATGCACAAGCTACTAGTAAGTCGACAGATAAGCTTTCTTGGACTCAATACATGGATGAAGATTTATGTAATAGTTGGATAGATTTCACAACTGATTCTATCAAAGGCACCCATCAAAGTAAGGCAAATTATTGGAAAAATCTTGTAGAGTATTATAACGAATGGAGAAGGGAAGGCCCTCCAATAACCATTGAGCAAGCCACAAATCACTGGTATAAAATGAGTCCTGAGGTTAGCAAGTTCAATGGGTGTTATATACAGATTAAAAGTGGTCACCCAAGTGGCAATGACGATGAACAAATAATTAGTAATGCCCTAAAACTTTTTACTAGCAAAAGTGAAAACAAGAAATTTTTTTTTACTTATTTACATTCTTGGAAAATTCTTCGAAATGCCCCGAAGTGGAAGGATTACGTTTCTACACAAAGTAGTTCTACAAAAAGAACAAAGATTTCTATTCCTAAAGATAACAGTACCTCTTCCTCAAATCCTAATACTAGTGAAATTGATAACGTGGAAATGGGAGATAAACGACCAATGGGACAAAAGGCGGCTAAAGCAAGTGCAAGGAATAGTAAAGTGAAAGGCAAAACATCTCTTCTTGACGAGAAATGGGGTAATTATCAAGAAATACAGTCAAAAAGACTTTCATTGTGCGAAGAACACATTCGACAACAAGATTTCGTGATACTTTGCAAGGACACATCTAATATGGACGAAAAAGCTAGAAAAAATCATGATCAAGTATGTGAAATGATTAAGGCCAAGTATGGAATGTCATAATCACAAATCAAATAAATATGATGAGTTGATGACTACTGAGTCAAGTATTTTAAGGTTTTTTTTAATTTTTTTTATTAGAGAGGGTATTTTAGGTGTTTTTATGTTGAACTCAATAAGCAATTTATAAGACTTTTCCTTTTATTATGTAATGTTTACTTTATTATTAATGTTATGTATTAAGTTTTGTAGCATTCTTAATCTCTTTGTTATTTTTCTATCATGAGTGGTTAAAGCTTTGTTTTTAATTTGCTACTTCTTGTTTTTTGCCTTCAATATTTCTTTATATCAAAAGAGTGAACTTATTAGGTTGTTACGAGAGTTTGTAGGACCAAACTTAAGTATGTGCAATGTAGGACCATTGGACCAATATACCTAATTGGCTAATTAGGATAATTCCATTAAAATATTGATATGAAGTAAAACAATCCTAAGAAAATCCATTAAATCTCAGTACCATTCCACTATGAATGTTATTGTTTCCACACATTATTTAGACCTTACAATAAAATCCATTATTTCACAATATGAAACACCCTCGAGAGAGGTTGTTCCTCGTGATCATGAAGGTGGTGCAGAATGTTTATACAAAGATTATTTTTCTGAACATCCAGTATATCCAGAACATTTTTTTCGAAGACGTTTTCGTATGAGGAGAGAGGTCTTCAATCGAATAGTGGAGGCCTTAAAAAATCACACTGAATATTTTCAACAAAGGTTTGATGCCGCAAAAAGAATGGGTTTGTCCCCTCTTCAAAAATGCACTGCTGCTATTCGCATATTAGCTTATGGAACTCCAGCTGATGCTGTTGACGAGTACATCAAGATTGGTGAGAGCACGGCTATGGATTGTCTATTTAAATTTTGTCGTGGTGTTATTGAAATATTTGGAGAGGTGTACATGAGAAGTCCCAATGCTAATGATGTCCAACGATTGCTTAAAATGCATGAGGAATACCATGGCTTTCCGGGCATGCTTGGAAGTCTTGATTGTATGCATTGGGCATGGAAAAATTGCCCTACTGGATGGAAAGGAAAATACACTCGAGGTGATTATGGATATCCAACAATAATGCTTGAAGTCGTGGCCTCAATAGATCTATGGATTTGGCACGCATATTTCGGTGTTGCTGGATCCAACAACGAACTTAATGTGCTATGTAGATCAAATTTGTTTCAAGAGAAATTGCAAGGACGAGCTCCGGAGGTTAATTTTACCATTAATGGCACCGAGTATGAAACGGGATATTATCTAGTTGATGGTATATATCCTGAGTGGGCTGCATTTGTTAAAATTTTTTCACATCCTCGGGACCCGAAGAGGCTTTTGTTTAAGGAAAAGCAAGAGAGTGCAAGGAAAGATGTTGAGAGGGCATTTGGGGTACTCCAATCTCGTTTTGCTATAGTTCGTGGGCCTGCACGTTGTTGGCATAAACGCAATATCCATGATATTATGGATGCGTGTATTATATTACATAATATGATTGTTGAAGACGAGCGTCACACTTATAACAAAAACTTTCCTAACGATGAATTTTCACCAAGTGTTGTTGCTGATGTGCATCAAGGACATGAAGAGAATTTTGAGTCATATCTTGAAAGAGATGCAACAATCCGAGATAGACAAATGCATCACCAGCTAAAGGCTGATTTAGTTGAGCATATTTGGTCACGTTTTGGTAGCTATAACTTGAATTGATCTTAAGTTGCTAAGTTTTTTTTTGGTTTTTTTATTTTTTATTTTTTTTTTTTTTTTTTTTTGTTTAAGGAATGTTGTTTTGTTAATTAGTTTTATTTAGTTGTATTGTCAAATGTTGATAATAAAATATGCAAATAAATTTAGGGAGAAAAGTTATCAATAATTTTTTTTTTTAAATGGAAAAGGTTATCAATTCTCTTGATGAAAATATTAAATACTTCGTACAAGCTCAAATAATTAAATCGCAAGCAAGTCGTCTTATAATACGAGTACAAAACAACTTATATGAAATTATATAAATTATTTCATATAAATTTTAATATTGATAGCAGGCACAACTTATAAAATTATATTATAAATTAGAATTTTTTTGGTAAAAGTAAGTAAAATAGCAATGAAATTTTCAGCTCATATAGTGTAGTAAATAAAGTATTACATGCAAGCTACAAAATTATATAGCCAACCATTGGAGTACTTTGTAGCTTGAAATAATGATGTGGCAAATCAAGCAACAACTTCTTGTAGCTTGCCATTGGAGTACTTTGTAGCTTAAATAGGTTGTAGCCTTAAAAATTAACATGACAAAGCAAGCTACAAGCCTTTGTAGCTTACCATTGGAGATGCTCTTATGGCGGGAACAGATACCACTTCTAGCACGTTAGAGTGGATAATGGCAGAATTATTGTGCAACCCACAAATCATGACAAAGGCTCATATTGAAGTAGATGGGGTGCTTAAGAAAGGCGAGTTTATGCAAGAAACAGATATTTCAAAACTACCATATATTCAGGCAATAGTAAAGGAGACATTTAGATTGCATCCGCCAACTCCTTTCTTACTTCCCCACAAAGCTAATGAAGATGTACTACTACATAACTATTTAGTGCCCAAAAACGCAACTATTTGGGTTAATGTATGGTCAATTGGTCGTAATCCAAGTGTTTGGCCAAATCCGGAAATTTTTGCACCAGAAAGATATTTGGAACGAGAAATTGATGTGAAAGGACGTGATTTTGAGCTCATACCCTTTGGATCAGGAAGAAGAATGTGTCCCGGAATTCCCCTAGCTTATAGGATGATACACTTAATGTTGGGTACTCTTCTTCATTCTTTCAATTGGGAAAATGGCAAATGTACCAAAGATTTAAACATGGCTGAAAAGTTCGGTATTACATTAAAAAAGGTTGAGCCACTACAAGCTATTCCACTTCCTAGATGAACTAACTCTTTCTCTTGATGAATTTAATTCACTTTGTAATATTCACTTTAAGCATTATAATAGCATATGGAGCAAGTTCATATGAACTAATTCACTTTGTAATATTCACTTTAAGCATTATAATAGCATATGGAGCAAGTTCATATGAACTAATAATCTTTCTCCTCTTCGTTCATTTAAGCATCATAATTGCATATGGAGCAAGTTCGTCAATTTAAATATAAACTTCCTCTATTTAGGGCGTGTTCAGCACTATCGTTTGAGTAACTTTAAGTGGTTTGACTTATCAAGCCATTGTTTAGTAAAAAAAAAATATGAGTGTCTGGCAGTGTAGTGGTGGAAGTAGAGTTTGGTAGTTGGAGTAATTTTTGTGAAAAGTTAATATTATTAGGTTTTGTGAAAACTAGATAGCTATTGGAATTTTCCTTCTATATTTTAAGAATTTTACAACTAATAGCTAGTTAATAGCTACTTTACCAAACGTTGATTTTTAATTATATATTTTTATAGTTAATAGCTAGCTGACATCTAACAGCACACATACAACTAATAAGAGCTACTATCACAAACTGCTACCTCTAAAGCTACATTTTGCCAAACACGCCCTTAATAGAATGGCTTGATTATTATATATCAATAGTAGAGTATTTAAACATAACCTAAGATCATAATATAGGAAACAATCTTCCTAAACTAAAACATATATACTACCATGATAATAAATGCTAAAGATATATTCACTAAATTTTAACATAAATATCCTAAATATATTATTCTTCTCAGATTATATCTCTTGAAAATATATCACATATATATTTTCCGATATATCATGTCTCTATTGCTAACACCATCCCACAGTTGTAGCGACAATATCAGGAACGTTGCGATTAGAAATTCCAATTTGTTGAAGTCGAGATGCATTACTCTGGTAATGCACTTCATTTTAAAACAAATTTTTGCAGTCATGTCTCTTTGTTGGTGTCTATGGTCTTCTCCCACGTCTCTTTAATAGATTTCATGGTCTTTTGCAACATCATTTAATTTGCTACTGTCCATGGTTTACTGCGACCACGTCCATTCTTATCTTAATGTTTAAAAAACGTCATATGCTTGCACTTTTGTCTCAAGGTATAATGTTCTGTCGTCTCAAGGGTAACGGTCGATCTTTCGTCTCAAGGTATAAGGAAACCAATTAATATGCATGTCTGTCATTTCAAGCACTACTAGAATCAGGTCGAATTCTGACGGAATAGTTCTGACGGACACGTTAATACGTAAAAAATACTGAAATTTCTGACGGATTTTTATTCAGTCGAAAATTTCCTACGGAATTAAAGATTTCGTCAAAAATCCGTTGGAAAGTTTCGACGGATTCTTATTCCGTCAGAAATTATGTACTTTCCAACGGATTTTTCCCTCGAAAAGCACATTTTCCGACGGAATAGGAATCCGTCAGAAATTTCTGACGGATTCTCCGTCGCAATCAAATTTTTTTTTTTAATTTTGTTTTTAAGAAAATCCTAAGAGGATAAGTTCCCCTCTTTGTTGTCCGCCTCTTTTATTTCTCTTTCCCCCTTCATTCCCCTTCTTCTATCTCCTCTTCATTCTCCTCTCTCTGCTCAACGTTCTCTTTCTCTCTCCTCTTCTTCTTCTCCGTTCTGTTTCCTCCTATTCTCTCGCAGGTTTTTTTCTCTCTTCTCCTTCTCTCATCTCTTCTCGTTATGTTTCCTCCAACACGTATGAACAACAACATCAAGAAAGACATTAACGAAGGTTTTTAGTTTAAATTCGACCATGAAAGCTCTATATCTAGAGTTTTCATGGTCCTTTTGAACCCAAATTCGAGGTTTTGTTCGGTAAAATTAAGGTATTTATCTTTTTTTTTTTCTTAATTTTGATTTTATTTTGTTGTTTTTGGGTTATTTTTAATAATTTATGACGGTGGTGGTGGCGGCTATTAGAGTACGGATTTTGAGGCTTGGGTTGGCGAGGTTGTGGTGGGTAGATCAGGGTACTGGTTGGTTTTTTTATGTTTTTTTTTTGTGTTGCGCTGTCGTGCAGTGGTGGTTAGTGGTGGTGGGGGCTGGTTGTGGTGGGGGATTAGGGTTAGGGTCGTGCAAAGTGAGGGAGGTCAGTGGTGGTTCTTGGTGGGTGGGGTTTAAATTGGGGCTGAAGGGAGGGATGTTAGTTGGGGTTTAGATCGAACTAGAGGGGGTTTGGTGGTGGGGGCTGGTGGTGGTTTTGGTAGGGGGTTACTGGTGGTCTGATGGGGGTTTGGTGGTGGGGGTTTGAGGTTGTGAAACGCCGTGCTGGTGGTGGCGTGTCCTTTTTTTCGATGAAAGCAGTTTCCGACAGAAAATCCGTCAGAACTTTCCCACGGATTTGTGTCCGGCGGAGGTTTCCGACGGATTTTTATGATGCTGGAAAATGCCTTTCGACGAATGAATTTCCGTCAGAAAAGGTGGTTATTCCTACGAAGGCGTTTTCAACAACCACTTCCGACGGAATTCCATTGGAAACCCTTTTTCCGACGGATTTCAGGGTGTTTTTGACGGAATTATTCTGTTAGAAATGGGTTATTTTCTAGCAGTGAAGGTACAACATCCTATCATTTCAATTTACAAGGAGAACAAACCATGTTTTACGGCACGAGGAGAACTTATATATAAAATCCGTTCTCATGGCGCAAGGAGACTTAATATATCTTAATTGACTCATAACATGAGAGCCGATTTTTTTAGACAAGGTATGGTTGCGAACCGCCAAACAGATATTTTCTTGCGGCAGGCTTGGCTGATATGTTTCACTTGTTGGCTGATATGTTTCATTTGTTGGCTAATATGATTTTTGTATTGGCTAATATATTCATTTTGTTGCCAGATTATTTTTTATACATATATGTTCCTTTTGTTGGCTATCAGACATCAATTGGCTGATATGTATCTTTAGTTGGTTGATATCTTTATTTATTTGGTTGATATGTATATTTTAATTGTTGGCTTATATTTTATTATTTTATTACTTGATATGTTTATTTTTTTGGTTAACCTGTTGCTTTTGTTTGCTGATTTAAGCATTTTGTTGGCTGGTATATTGTTGGGGTTTGGTGAGTCCTACTCACCGCGAAAAAAACCCGAGCCCAGGATCACGCTCGCAATAATTAATATCACTAATGCATAAAATAAACACAAAAAGGGAAAAATAGGAAATATACCTTTGTCGCGTGCTTTGCCGACCAATTGGGCTCTTACTTGAAAGCAAGCCCCGAAAACACGAAGGCCTCCAACGGAAATCCACACGCAAAACGACTACCGACTCTAAGGTCCGTTGCCCCGGAGTTAGCAAGGCCTGACCAAAGCCCGAGTATATTATATGAGTTCAAGGGTTTTTGCAATGGCAATGCCCTACTAAACTCCTACTCAAGCCCAGAATTCTCAAGCCATGCTTTGGCTATTTATAAGGAAGGTTAGCTTGTTAATTCCACTCATCTTTCAATGTGGGACTTTTTCACAAAAGGATCCCACATAGAAAGATTTATGAATTCAACCCTTAGTTAAATAAACCAAGGAAAAAGTAACAAGTGTCACATGGTTAGGTGAGGACCACTTTTTCACTTTGGTCCCCAAGGCAACTCATATGCATTGTGAGCTAACCATGTGTCACCCAACCTTGAGCCCCAAGTTGGGTTCAGTTGGGCCACTTTCTTTTGGCCCGTGTCCATGACTAGTTACTCGGGTCCACGGCCCCTTGCCACACGTGCCACCACCGTGGCGCCCTGCCACATGGCACGCTGCCACTTGGTGGCAACTGCCACGTGGGCTGTCACATGGTGCGCTGCCATGTGTGTTGCCACGTGGCACGCTCCTATTTGGCGCACTCTTCTAGCCTTTTGTGTGGCTAGGATTTTACTTGTTAGTTGAAGCATTTTCCCGTCTTGCCAAATCCTAAATTTTGGCTCGACATTTGAGATTCTCCGACGCTCGGTTTCGACACTCCAAGTTTTAATTTCCGACGTCTAAATATTAATTACTCGGGAGACTCATTAATTTCTTCCGAATTAATTTGTCGTGTTGGTTCGTTCATTTCTTGGGTGTGACCCGAATGGTTCAGTCAAGATTAAGTTGTAATATTAATTATGCATTAATATTACTGATCGGAAGCGGCCTCCACACAGGCATTCCGATCACTTGACCTTACTGAATATATTAGCTTTCTAATAATTCTGAACCCATTATTAGAATAATACACTTGTTCGAAGGACACCATTCCTTTCAATCTCCCACTTATCCTTCCGGACAAGTGAGCTTTCAGTGTATAGCCCCTTTTCTATGTCTCTCCATGAACTATAGGGTAAGATTATTCCTCATCCCTATTACGTCCAAAAGTGTTTCTCGAAATTCGAGTTTGACTGTCAATAAGCAGATGATTACTAAAATACATCTGAGCACGGCCATGAATTTTCACAGTCTTGCTCTTCGAGAGACCTTGTAAACAACAAGACATGTTCCCTATTGTTAGTAGGGGGATATTCCCAGTCTTGTAATGTAGCTTCTCTCACTAAGAGGACCTTGCTGCCTGATAGCTGTCGTTATAATCCCCAATTACGGCAGATGTTTGACCAACATAAAAAAGGATTAGTACTCAAACAAGAGACCTCACAATACTTATGGTCAAGAAAAAGAGTTCCGATAGAAATAATGAGAAATATACTTATGACGATTTTGAATCTCTTAAAGTATTCTCATAGGTCGATCCAGTATGGTTCTAAACCAATACATGTGCAAATGATTTATGTCCTCATAGCACAAGAAACGATGCTATAAATCATACTACACACTAATCTCTAATAGTCATTAATCGTCCACAAAATAAATGACCTTTATTAGGGATAATTTTCGATTAAAACATTCAATGTTCACTTAATATGTGTTTCTTTATCCAAGACATTGTCTTGATACCCTATGTTGAATATTCTTTAAAATTGAATGGACTCATTATTT